TAATAATGAACAGGGCAACTTTCTGTTTCATTGTTTCTCCGTCTGTAACAGCCAACATGCAAAAAAGTCAAAGAGAAAAGGGATACTGCAAACACACACACACACAATCAACTGTTGTATTTGTGTCTTCACAACTGTTGCCAGTAATATCACTACTACAATTATTTCTACTATTAATGATAATAATGATGATGATGTTAGCACAGAAAACAATTATAGCTATTTCTGGTGTTTAATGAATAAAACTTCTCTTTTCTCATTAAAAAACTGTTTTTATCCAATTCTGTTGCTTTATTATTTTAAAATAATTAAATAGCAATCTGCATAATTTATGTTTTATATTCTTTAAAATGATAATGGTATTTCCATACCTACACTCTGGCTCTTGTCATACTTTTCAACTCTGACTAGGTAGTAGTGTCTGTAGATATTTCTTTCCACTTATCTACTAGGCAAGAGTATTTACAGGATATCTTTCTGTTACCAATGCACTGATCGGGACTCATTTTGTGATTTTCATTGTGATACTCCTTTGAGTGAGATTTTTCAACCTTCCCATTGAAAATTGTATCACTGAAACCAGTTAAGTTTTGCATTCACAATCTTCTCCTTGAATCCATCTTGCACATTTATAAATCTACCAATTGTCCATACATTGAATATTGCTGCCATATCTGATCTGGTGCACCAGCTATATATCTTGAGATTCTCAATAAAATCCAAAGAATTGTCTGTAATATAATCTATCCTAACCTGGCTTACAGGAACTGATGTCAATATATTAAAGTCACATACTCAAAATTAGAAATTAACATATTTGATGATCTACAAGATATACCTATTTCAGGAGGGAGTATTACTAAAAAAAATGTTGAACGGAACATTCACTGTTACTAGAACTTCATCCCTTTCTCTTATTTGACTCATCCTAGGTATGACAATAAATTACATCTGGCAGCAAGGCCTCTGATCAGGAAGTGTTGAGGAGTATGGAACTACCTCTTGTTCCAAGGTCCACCCCGACCCATGGTGTTAGCACCTGTTAGGGTCCCAGCTATGAGAAAATGGTGAACACCCAAAGCTCACAAGAAAATAAAATTTCAGCATTAAATGATCCATAAGGAGTTGATTTGCCATTAAACAAACCAAAACTATGTGGCCTGGCTCAAAACAAGTTTCTTTTTCAAGCATTTATTACAAAATTATGAAATTCTAATATCTATGTAGAACAAAATGGTTCTTTTCTGCCATTACAGTAAATTATAGAATAATATGAAATTGGACAATTTAAATATTTGGGGAGTAAACAGAGAATCAATATTGTTGTGAGATTTATTTAGTATCTTCACATAACATCACTACCTCACTATCATTACCTTTTAACTTTGGAACATGTTCAACTTTATGATGTGATGATTTTTTCTTAACGAGATAAGCCCCATCTATAATTTTCTCAATGATTTACTTGTTGCTCCAAGACACATTTCCATACAACAGTGGGTTTCATAGTTTAATTAGAATTCTTCTCTTTCTTAAATAAAACCCTAGATTTTACAAATTTTGTCTCAATATACGGAGTAGGAAACTTTTCACCTAATTTCCTTTTACTAGCTTCGTACACATTATAATGTCTAATATATTAAGCAAAAAACTTTTGCACGTTTCTCTCTGTTTCTTTGGACTTAAATTTCTTTTTTTATATGCAGAAATTTGAACATCTTTCATACACATGAGGAAAAAGAATTTCATTCAGTATCTTTCAATCATTTTCATATTTACACATCTGTTTTTGTTTTTTTTTAAATATCTAATTTTAATTAGGATCTGTGGGTAGTATAACAAATATTGGGACAAACAATGGAATTGGTTCAAATTTTGGCATAATCAGTTGCATTTACTTTCACACTAATACCCTTGGCAAAGGCAGGAATTCATCTCTTCTCTCTTCCCAGCTATGGATTAATTAGTAGGATAGACCTGGCTCATTATTCTTAGATAAAAGAAAAAGCAATCTGGAGAATCATGATCACCAATCTCTGTCCTGAAGAGACATGGCATTAAAAAAAAAAAGTTAAATATCTAATTTACTGGTGTTATCCTATTTCATGGTACTTTGTTTGATATATTTTTTTAAACTTTTGATGCTTTTTATGCCACCATCTGGAATTGTCTCAAAGTCCTTGAATGCACTGTCAATGAACTTTGTTCGGTGCAACCTCAAAGGGCCTACAACTTTATAGATTATAGCTATCATTATTTGTCTTTATCATGACTCTTGAATAACATTCTTAAAAGCTATCTGTTTCTCTTATCTGGAAAAGGTTTAAAGTCAATTTTTACTCAGGTTGATTTTGGTTTTTATGTAAGTCATTAAATAACCTAACGTTATGTTAAATAATGAAAAAAAAACTCTTTGCATAGTTTGGTAATATTCAAACACTGATAGATTTAATTTATATATGATTTCTAAAGCATTTCTTAATAATAATTCTTTAATAATAAATTTTATTTTTAAAAATAACATCTTTGAAAAATCACTCTGTATCAATCCTTTCTTATGTATTCCTAATGCAAACAAAAATATAGAAAAAATATAAATGCTATTTTAAAAGAAAGAGGACTGCTGGAAGCATTTCTAATTTTGTTGCATTACAAAGAAAAGAATAATAAACTGTTACAGTTCTTCTATATGGCAGTGGATTCTGGACAATCTCTTCACAGTTTAAGAGACTTGAAGCCACAGAAATGTAGTTCTACAGAATGATGCTGAGAATAACATAGACCAAACATGTGAGCAACAACAAAGTTTTAGAGAAAATGGGAACAAAAAGGTAACTTATACTTACCATCACAAACAGTTGAAATTTCTAAGGCACATAATGAGAAAAGAGGGCTTGGAAAATTTGTTACTCACAGGACAGATTGAAGACAAGAGGGACAGAGGACAATCTACCTAGTAAGCTTGAGTAAATGAATGGTGAAACAAGGTTTAAGAGAGATAAAATTTATTAAGAGCTACAAAGGACAGGAAACTGTGGAGATCCATGATCACCAACATCCTGAAAGGACACAGCACATTGTATTTTGTTGTGTATTGTTGTAATTGGCACATGGAAAAGAGTCCAACACAAACACAGCCAATCATATTGATTAGATTCTTGTCGTTTTTTAGTGGAGATATTTTCTGTCACTTAAATATTAGAATGTTGGCAGGAAACAGCTGGTCATATGTTGAGAATATAAAATCCTTGGGCACATTTCTGAAAACTTCTTTATCAATACTATAGATTTTTTCTGTTTTCTTTCTATTCACTAGATTCCCTATCCTTTGATAGCCACCCGCTTCTGTCTCCTCCTTTCCACAAAGATTTGGCAGATTGGATCTTCTAAAAGTCATGTTTTGATTCTGCCAAGAATTTCTGCCAAATTCTTCCTCTATGACAATACTTCTACTGTTCACTGAATTTTCTTTTATTCCTGGTTTACAAAATGAGTCGTTCATTACTAAACACTCCTTATTTTGTTTCAATCTGTGAATTCATTGTCAGGTGACCAAATGATGGGCTATCCTGAGTGTTTATTGGTACATAGATGAGATTGTAAAATAGATAGAAATATAATTGTTTTTTTTTTTTTACATGCCTTTCTATAATAGATTATGTAAACCAATACAAACAATAAAATACTAGAACCAGGAGCCAAGTCAAACCTGTACTGATTGTATATTCAGTTTTAAGTTATCTTATGTGATACCATTTGATACTATGATTTTTTTTTTTTGTTTTTTTTTTTTGCAGTGTTAACTTTATCATGTACAATTTATAGATAAGGATTTTCTTATTTTTTTAAATGGAGTATACAAAATGGGTGCTGAAAAGTTCTTGGCCTTATCCACTTCCCAAAAATCTGATCAATTGACCAAACCACAATTTTGGCAAACATGGATAAACATGCCCACATTAAGATGGAGTGTTAAAAGGAAACTTTTCTTTTTTTCACCATGACACCACATTTTTCACTACCTTCACTCTTCAGGAATGTTTTAAAAAGCAATGGTTAGAATTGGAATAAAACCTGAACATATGAAAGTGAATTTATACATTTTCTTTGTTCTTGATAATTAACAACAAAAATAATTAATAAACACTTTATTTATTAGATTATTTATTTATTATATTATTTATTGGAATGCTTGGCAAAACATTGGCTAATTGCCAATTGATTCAAACTTTATAAAATGGTAAATAAGGATTTACTTATAATTGGTTCACATTTTAATGAATGTTTATACATTTATGAATAAATAATTGTTTCCACATTTATTTCTTTATAAATTTGTAAATGATAAATATTGCATTACATTAGTTCTAAGTGTATTAGCTTTTAGAATGTTGTAATTATAAAATTATTCTTGTAAATAAACAATCTAATAAATAAATAATGTTTAATATTTTTGCTGTAAATTCTCAAGAACAAAAAAAGTATAAATTCACTTTCATCATGTGTTTAGGTAGATTCCCAATTCTATTTATCACTTTTTAAAACAACAAACATTACTGAAGAATGAAGGTAGTTAAAAAATCTGTATGATGGGGAAAAATGATTCTTTTGACACTATATATTATTGTGAGCACGTTTATCCATGTTTGCAACAATTTATTTTAATCCCTTCTTGGTCAGACTGAGAACTTTTCCAGCATCCCCTTGTATCACTTAATAGATTGATTTATTGATTCATTTTTCTACAGCTTATCAATCTTTGCAAGTTATTTAAGGCCATAAATTATTATTAGATTGTAAGAATTTTTTTAGATAATAATGGTTTAGTGATACAAGTCTTACTAATTAACCCCTGGCTAGGGGGGAAAAGAGTTGGGTTCATACCTTTCCCAAGAACATTTGTGCATAAGTGAATATAATGAACCAAGTGGGAATTGGAACTTGGCTCTCCAATTAACAATGCTGAGCCATTATCCATTATATTACCTATGCATCCAAGTTTACAGCACCTGGTATTCCCAAGTGGTTACCCATCTAGGTACTGATCAGCCTCGATGTTACTTAACTTTGGTGATTGTTTGGGAACTGGTGCTTCAATGTGATGTGGCTGTAAGCCTCAGTCCATAGAATCAATGGTCTATCAAATTTTGATAATGATCATAAAATACACTTTTTACAAAGAAAACCCTCCAAATGAGAAACTCTGTTTCGAAAACCTATAAATAAAATTATAGCAAGCTTTAGTCAGAGTTAATAAAATGTAATATGTATATTTTACATAATGTTTGAACTCTATCGAGGCTGGAAAGTGAGGATTGAGCTAGACGGAGAAGAGATGGATTCATGCCTTTACCAAAAGTATTGTTGTTAAGGTAACACAACACTGTTAAAATTTGAACTCTGTATGCCAATTTTATTTTCCATACTGATAATTGTTTTACATATAACACATTCTAGAATAAGTTATAAATTATTGGGAGATAGTGAAAGTTGAGTCTTTTTGTTTCTTGTTCTTTTATCCATTCCCAAAAATTTTGCCCAAACGATAAAAGATGAAATAATCAGTATATTCCCCATTATTTTATTTTTTTTATTGACACTTGGGGTGAGGGTGGGTTCTCACTTTTCTTGTAGATTAAACACTGAAAGAAATCAATGGAATTAACTGTCTGAATCATTGTGGTAACAACAAAAGTTGCACAAAAAATGAGTTCAGTAGTTTGAACAGATTTTAGAATGATAATCATTTTTTGTTTTTTAGTAAATTATATAAGGTATGTTGTGGATGGCTCATCCATCATCAAAGCTCTCTTATTACTCTACTATCATTTTGTGACCAACCCTTCCCAATTGGGGCAAAGTAATGAGAATAGAAAAATAAAATTATAAATTGATATGATAGAGGGTTGCACTTAACCTTCAAATATTTTCCAATATCAAAACTTGTACAATGTGGGATAATCAGGGACAAAGGTGATGGAGAGAAAAAGAATACAAATGAATTTGGCTAGATTGAAAAAATGTTCTTTCAAAAAAAAAAAATTCTTTCAAAAATTTTGAAACTACCAGCATCTCTCGTTCGCATGTGTAGACATGTTAACATCAACAAAGTCCAGTCCGATGTAATCAAAATGCATCACAAAAACTATTTTCCAATTTGTCATACTATTTTTCTAAATACTGTTTGTTGATATACAAAATTATATATCATTATATCGCATGTGAATCTAAGTGTGTGCATGTTCACACAAAATGGGTGGATCAATAAGTCCATTTTGATCTGAAATTTTCACCATCATATTAAATTTATTATGTTGAAAAATAAATATTTGTTGTATAAAATATGTGCTTTTTTCAGCATTAAGCTACAAACTTATTAACATATTTGTATATATGATCTTTTGATTTCTCCTTACACTCTAATATTTGGTGGTGAAAAGTCATGAGATATATATTTATTAGTTATACATGTCTGAAGAATGCATGAAGCATGAAACTGGCAATCACTATGCAGTGTTAATTCCAGTGTCTATAGCTGAAAATGCTTTTCCACCTTAAATAAAGCAAATTTATACATTTTTTATATATATATATATATATATATATATATATATATATATATATATATATATATATATATTAAATTTTCAAATATGTATAGAGTAATTCTGATATAAATCTTTACATATTATATCAATTATTCTCGTATAGTTGACTCCCAAGACTTCATAAATCTAGTATTTAAAACTTCAACTCATTAATTACAGTAGGGAACTAGTGGCCAGGGCATCTGAGGTCCTATCCAAAAGACTAAAAAATTATAGTACAATAAAGATGGGAAGCATTTCCTTTTCCATAACAGCACAAATACTTTTATCTGTCTGGCATCCTTGTTCTTCCTCTTTGATGTTAACAATGAGCTATTGTCGTAAGCTTTCTATTCATTTAGGGAATGTAAAACAGGCAAAAACTGCTATTTAGAATAAGTACTTTAGGCTTGTTTGAATTCCATGTGCTTCTTCCAATTCTAGCATAATATACAATAAGCCTGAAAGTAGTATTTCTTTCCAATACTCATTAATGAATTATGAGCCAAACAAATTTGGCACTTGATCAGGAAGAATAGGTAGAGGCACCTTGCATAAGTTTTAAGTGTTCATATTAAAAAGGGCAAAAATAGACACTATCTTGTGCTATTAAATGCAGGTAGAGTACCTGAGTTAAATTTAGTAACTTCTACCTCAAAAACTAAGAATATCCAATGATAGCATAAGCCATAAGAAGGATGTTCTTCAAAAATAATTTCATATGTAGTCAAGTTTATGTATGTGTTATATATATATATATATATATATATATATATATATATATATATATGTTTCTATATGTGTGTATACTTCATGCAGTCTACAAAAGTGTGGCTTTTTTAATGATATTTTACATTTACAGGGAGATCTAAAATGTTATTAATAAATAAATTATAATCTTTAAAAAATGTTATCAAACAATTCAAACATGTGATTGTTCTTTTATTTATAAATCATAGATGTATTTTCATCTTCTATTTTTGTTATAAATACTGGGGTAAATTTCTAATGTATTCTTTCAAAAAATATACCACAAATATGATAAAAAAGTAACTTTAAAGACATTCAAAGCATGATGTATTGTAATAAACAAAACAAAATAGCTGTTAACCATTGAATTATATTCTTGAGTAGGAAACATTTGATTTTTAATGTTTGTGTTATAGTTCTTGAGGAAAAGTGGGAATAATAAGGAATGTAATAAACAACATATATTTGCTTTTTTTTTTTTGTCATAGCATAAAAGTTCTTATCTATTCTGCTAAGTAAAATAATTTAGGGTTTATATTTCAAATATAAAAATATTGTTGAAGATAGTGAATGTAAGGATTTTGTCAATTGAACTTTATCCTTTTAATTATTCTATAAATGTTCATTTAACTAATAATTTATGAAGCAGTTATGTGTCAAATTGAAGACCTATTAATGAGGCAATTCTTTGCTTCTCTTTTTAGTCATTTTGGATTATATTTTCCAACATATAAAACCATCCTTATTTTAATGTATAATATTTTTGAATGATTTTCTCCATATTTTAACTATGCCAATTTATTTAAATAGACAATACCATCCAGTATAAATAAAAACATTTTATATTTCTTATATTCTTTTAAGAATATTAACAGATTTTCATGGCACTTTGACATGGTATAAATGATTAACAAGCTTATCTCCCTAGATCAATTACAAGTGAGTAGTGAGTTTGATCCTCACTGGATGCTCTATACTTTCAGCCTTGTGCCACATCTAAGCTACACCTAGTAAATCACTATCAACCATATCATTTGGTTATGATGTGAACACACTGAAATATCCCTTAACAGATTTTCAAGGTTACTGAAAAACAACTTTCTAAAAAAGAAAACTGCACTTCTGAACTTTCATTAAAAATATAATTAAAAAAAAAAAGATAATCATTGAAAAACATGTAAACTTTTCAGGTTATGGACCCAATATCAAAATGGTTATGTGGTCGGATGACTTAATGTATTTTCTTCCCTAATTAATGTTGAGTTTTCTTTTTAAATGATGTTTATTGCGATTATAATTTAACCAAAACAAATGTTTTCCTTTCCTCCTTTTTTTTTTTTTTTGCTATAGAAATCTTGTTTATTTCATTTTCTGAAAAAGATATGATGTTGGTTAAATTTAAGCGTGTTTTTAAACAGTGATTGTTTTAAATATATTCATTCTTTACAAAAAGAAATCCCCTTTTTCTAATTGGTTATTAATCATACAGTGAACTGAGATTATTTTAGTAACTCATCTTTAGTCTTTGTATTTTATGATGTTAATAGTTATACTACAATAGCAGTTTAGTGGATTTTTTTATTATCTAGTTCTAGTTTTTTAAACATTGAGCACCACAATATATAAAACACAAGAGAAAATATTTCAATATCATTTTTAATATGACAAAGCATAAATATTAAATTTTGATAAATTAATTTCCTTAGTATCAGTAAAAAATTTCCAAGTCATCTTATGTATTCAAGGAATTACTTGACTCATCTCTCTCCTTGTATTTATTTTTTAAGAAGTCTTTTAAGATAACAAAATATAAAATATTCAAGCAAAGAAAAAAGAAGTTAATGATATTTGCTTCAAATATTCTTGTTGGAATCCAAAGGTTTATTCAGAATAAAATTCTCCTCTTAAAATACATTTTGGATATCATGAGAGGACTAGCCACAGACAAATTCTTCACCTATTGTTGATTTTGCTATATTAATATTACACAATAATATGAAGCCTTGTGTTAATCATAATAAGAAAGTTATGCATTTGGCCTGTTACATGAATTCCTCAAATGATTATGGAAAAATAATTGGAACAAATAAAATTATGGTTTTTATTTCATTCTTCCAAATTTACTGAGGAAGGAAAAAAATGACAAAAAAAAAAGTAGTCATGATTCTTTTCCTTCTCTTTACTGCCATTTATTAAGTTCTGTTTAATAATTTTCATCATAATCCATGTAAAATGAAATGTTATCTCTAACCTCAATATTTTTCCTTATTTGAGAGATATTATTTACATATCTGTAGATTCAATCAAAAATGTCCACTTTAATTGACTATGTAAACTTCCTGAAATTGAAAAAGGAACTCACTCAGTTCACATGATTTTAATTTTATATTAATCTTCCCATTCTACTGGGAAAAAACAACTTTTCATTGTTTCTTTAATATTTCACTTTTGTAACAAATTAAAATCTATACAAATCCTGCAAATATTAACAAACACCAAATACATGTTTTCACAATGTGTGTGTGTGCTTATTTTTCTTTTTCCTCCTAGCTTGTTCTTAGGATGTTGGTGGTTTTTATAAGGTGTGAAAAATGTTGTTGGTCAGTATTATTAGGTACTTACATTAGTATTGGGAAATAAACTTTCCTTTCTTCCAAGGCTGCAGATGCTGGGACGCCCAGCATTGCTTTTCCTCCTCATCTTGTTAATTTCTGGACTTCCACTGACAACTTTCCACAGACACTGACACTAGTGGGCTAACCAGCGGCAGCA